TTAGGCAGAGGTCGGCCCTTTGGCGTGGCTGACAGCGGTTGTCACCTTCTGAGGATTTCCCTTATCATGGCGGAACCTTTTTGATGTTAACTTTATCAGTCCACACAATATATCGTACTCTCTCACCACCCTACACCACGCTCCCTCTCTCCGTTCTACCTCCTCTTCTGTCAAAAGAGATCACATTCTTTCGTTGCTGAAGTATTGATAGTATGCAATGTCCTTCATTGTTCATTCTTAGTTTAAATTCCTAAAGTTTATTTATCATTATCAGTCACATCTTTTCTCTCAGTTATTTTGACGTTCACTGCCGCCTTTCCTCCTTACCTTTTCTCAATTAAAGTAAAAATGATAACAACGATGATGATAATGATATTTTAAAATGATAATGACTGCACTGACAATAATAATGAGGAAAGGGATAATAATTTGATAATGATGATAACGATAATGATAATGATACTAATTGTAATAATACTGATAACGATGACAATGATAATGATAATAATTATTGCTATAATCATAATAATAATGATAATAATGATACCAATTATAATAACGATAATAATGATTATAACAAAAACAACAATATTAATAATGATTATAACAAAAATAACAATATTAATAATAATTATAATAATAATAATATCAATGATAATAACAGCAGCACCAACAACCAAAACAGCAACGAAGATGATATTAACAAAAAAATAAAATCAGTGCCTGACAGTCCGCCACTGCATGCGTTTCTCCCGGGGTCATCATTCGTGTTATTAATCCTTGTTATCAACCATTATCACTAGATCCACCTTAATCCGTCTCCATCTGTCAGGAGGAAGCTACTCATTCTGCTGTGAGATTTCAGTCGCAACCCCTCGGTAGTCTCCTATCTTATCGGTCTTATCGCTTGAAACAAAAAAAAAAAAAGAGTTAAAGTTGTGACGTATCGGGTTTTCCACTTCTGCACCAAGCAACGAGAAGGTTTAGTTGGTGTGGAGATTTTTTCTTTCTTTTTTCTTTCTTTCTTTTTTTCTTAATTATTTCTTTGTTTCTATGAAGGGTCTGTCAGTTATAGCACGTATTTTTTTATCGGTAACTTAATTTTTATAAATGGGATGAAAGTTAAATTACTCTAGTATTTATGTTCAAGATTTTACTATTATGCTCATCTTCATCGTCATTATTATTGTTCACTAATTGCTATCATTATAATTTTTCTCCCATGAATCAGTGCAGTATTTTTATATCAAACAGTAATGTTATCTACACATAAACAAAAATTACAGATATAATTACGTCATTATTTTATACTGACACACTAACGAAGAGTAAAAAAAAAGTGAGATTGGCACTTACTTACACAATCAGTAATATATTCCATAAGATAAGATTACACAAGTATTTTGGTACGTGCATAGCTGAACAGTTCGCTGAACTATGTACACCTACACTATATGCACAGAGAAGAGGAAGGAATAGATAGTACATACATAGACATACACAGACACATTATTAATTCACTTACATATGCAAAAAAAATACCAATACCTGATAAACGTCCTATATTATTAGCATTAATCTTTAATTAGAATATAATTTATTTATCTAAATGACCACAACCCAAACTCTACTAAACAATATTCCTTCTTCCAGGCAAGACCCGCACCAAGGACAAGTACCGCGTAGTGTACAGCGATCACCAGCGACTTGAGCTTGAGAAGGAGTTTCATTATTCTCGCTATATCACCATCAGGAGAAAGTCTGAGCTCGCCTCCATGCTGGGGCTCTCCGAGAGACAGGTAGGCGAGACGTGTGGTTTTCTCTTTCTCTCTCTCTTTCTTTCTCTTTCTCTTTCTTTCTTTCTCTCGTTCTCTCTTTCTCTCTTTCTCTCTTTCTATCTTCCTCTCTCTCTTTCTCTCTTTCTTTCGCTCTCTCTCTCTCTCTTTCTCTCTTCCTCTCTCTCTTTCTCTCTTTCTTTCGCTCTCTCTCTCTCTCTCTCTCTCTCTCTCTCTCTCTCTCTCTCTCTCTCTCTCTCTCTCTCTCTCTCTCTCTCTCTCTCCCCTCTCTCTCTCTCTCTCTCTCTCTCTCTCTCTCTCTCTCTCTCTCTCTCTTGTTCTCTTACCCTATTCACTTCTTCCGTGTGTGTTTTTTATGAATAGTTTAGAGTTTTAGGTCAAGATGTTGTGCTTACGTTTCTTATCAGTAACCGTAACAATAAGCAACAGTAGCCCTTTTTTAAGCTCATTACCTTACCCGAATCCTTTCTTCCCCGCAGGTCAAGATCTGGTTTCAGAACCGACGAGCCAAGGAGCGGAAGCAGATGAAGAAGCGAGACGAGCTCCTGCAGAAGGAGAAACTGGAGAACGCCCAGTACCACGCGCCCACCGTCACCCCCGTGCCGCCCATGCCTCCCATGCACGCGCACGTCTCCTCCGCCCAGCACCTGCCCACGTCGAAGCCCCTTATGATGGACGTGAAGCCGGTCTTGGGGCTGGACTGA